TAACTAGCTTTATCCACCAACGCCTTCATAATTACAGGAAATAGCAATCTCCTAAGCATAAGTTCTGGCCAAACCAAGCCAGTCATTCATTTTATTCTGCAAACATTTATCAGGTGTCACTCATATGCAAAGCTTATCATCCAGGGATGAGTACATTGAGAACACTGTTCTCAAGTAGTTAATAATCTGATGAGGGAGACAGATCCAAAGGCCAGTGATTATAATACCTGCTGAGTGTGAAAACCCTTTATTCTTTACAAAGGGCTGTGGACTTCAAAGGGAGTCCTGAGAGCAGAGGACGCCAAAAGTCAGATGCTGAGATACTCACCAAAAATGTCTGCAGGGATCTGGAACCTAGGCACATAGTGAGGGAGAAAGCCAGGTTCCCAGGAGATTAGGGAGGAGAAATGATTGGAGCAACAGAAGCCAGGGGACAAAAGGGAATGCCAGCTTTCTCAATTTTGAAAGTAGTTTGTCTGAGAAATTGGGAGGATGGTGAGCAGAGACAGCCAAGGTGGAGACAGGGGGAGGGGTCAAGACTTGGGGAAGCTTAGGTTGAATGTCTAGGAAGCCAGATCACTGGAAGGTCTTCACTGTGGATGCTGGAGCGGCCCAGCATGGAAGCAGGGAGTGGGGCTGCGGTCAGCAGGGGGCCTCAGAGAACTCAGGATGGCCAGTCAATGGAGGCCACAAGGATGCCAGGGGTGGTCAAAGCTTGGTGTAGACTGAACCCAAACGTGGTAGGAAAATGGTCTGAAGCTACCTGTGGATAGCTTCTCTAAGTCATCCTAATGTACTAGAGTCTAGCATGAGCATTGGGGAAATGGGGGATGTCAGGGGGCTTGTGGTTAGGGGACCCATATCCAGAGATCTCCAAGGAAGAGCACCTGGGGCTCCCAGCAAGGAGGAAGAGAGGGAGCGGAGGAATAGGCAGCAGGCTGGGCACAGCCTGAGTGGGGCTGGGCCTCAGGCATCAGAGTCCCTGTGAGGACAGGGACCTGACTTCACCTGCAGGTGGAGCAATTAAGCCAGGAGACAGTGCCCAGGGGCCACGAGGCTAGTGGTAGTCATGGAGCCCACCAAGAGTCCATCGAAATTTGGAATCTGTGCTAGAAATGACCAAGGGTCAGCTGTCCCAATCTCCTCATGTAATGGATAAGAAAATGAAGGCCCGAACATGGAAATCACTTCGAAAGACCACCAGCAAGTCTGGGAAAGCTAGCACTAAAACCCAGCTCAGTCCCTCAGTCTGGTCCCACTGTGTGCCTGCTCTAACACCCCCATTACAACACAGGAGGGGCAAAGCTCCCCAAAAAGCCACAGTGGGGGCTGCAGAGAAGGGAAAGACAGCCCCACAGTGGGTCCCAGGCATCTGGGAAAGAACACAAAGATTTGATGGTAGCTGCAGGAGCCTCTGCCTGCCTGTTTGTTTGCTTGCTTGTTTGTTTGTTTGTTTGAGATGGAGTCTCACCCTGTCACCCAGGTCAGAGTGTAATGGCACAATCTCAGCTCACTGCAACCTCTGCCTCCCAGGTTCAAGCGGTTCTCCTGCCTCAGCCTCCCAAGTAGCTGGGACTACAGGTGTGCACCACCACACCAGGCAAATTTTTTTATTTTTAGTAAAGATGGGGGTTTCACCATGTTGGCCAGGCTGGTCTTGAACTCCTGACCTTGTGATCCACCCACCTCACGCTCCCAAAGTGCTGGGATTACAGGCATGAGCCACCACGCCCAGCCACTTATTTGTTTTTTAACCCAAAAAGCCAAGCCCTTTTCTCCCAGTGAAAACCTGGAGTCATTGTACGGAGCCAGGAAAATTGGCCCACCCACTTCATGCCCTAGCAGAAGGCTCTGAATTTCCCTGGAAAATCAGTACCCAGAGGGGAAGACCCCCATCCCACCATCCCTCAATCCAACCTCTGGCCTCGGCTGGCAGCGAGGAGGCCGGTGGGGGGTCGAGCACCTACTGATCATGCCAGGAATTGTCTGCTCCTGTCAGAACCGGAATGGGTCAGCTCTGGTCTCACCTGCGCCTGGGCTAGCCTGGAACCTGGGGGCCTGCAGTGGCCTTCTTAGATGGGAGCCCACTGTCAGCATCGGATCCCCCAAGTGCAGACTCCCGTCTGTTTTGAAACCCTGACTGGCTGCTCACTCCCACCCACTGCTGAGCCTTCTCTCCCCCACTCCCAATTTTACTTTCATTCTGAGTCAGCACTAAATGACCACAGTCAGTGGCTCTGCAGAAAGTCACAGAACAGAGGGCGACAGGCCAGTGTTTATGCCACATTCACTCACTTCATCATTGATTCGTGCACTCCTGCATTTATTCAACCAACAAGCGTTCATCCAGTGCCTACTGAGCCAGCCCTTGCCCGGTGTTAAGACTTCAGAGGTGAGCACGCAGCATCTCTCCCTAGAGGAGCCACAGTGGTGTGGAGGAGTCAGAAAGTCGACCTGACAGTTGAGAGCTCCATGGCAAAGCAGAGGTGCCTGCCGCACACCATCGCTCAGGGTTTGATTAACACACACCCTGCTGCATTGTCATGCTTCTTTTGTTTTTATTTTAAATTAATGGACAAATTATATTAAACAGGAATTTTCACATAAAGATTCACATGTATTGAGTCCTCAGGAGGTACAAGAACATCTGGTCTACTTTCCCACGTGGCAGCCCTGGCCTGAGACTGGCTGTCCCTTCAAGTTAGGAACGTTCTCATTCCCCACAGTCGCCACCACTGTCCAGTGTCCCCAACCCTGAGGCCCCATATTAGTGGCCACAAGTTACCCTACTGCTGATGTTGATGTTCTCATGCCCCGCCAGCTTCACCTTGGGTCTGGTTCCTGCAAGGCTGAGTTGGAGATCCTTGGTCCAGGGTGAGAAGTGCTTTGACAGAGGCAGCAGAGGGCGCCATGGGAGCACACAGGAAGGGCACCTGGGGCACGTGCAGGGACTGCAGAACAGGCTGCATGGGCACACAGGGTGGGCTGCTGGCTGCTGGCTGGGCTTCCTCCGTTAGCTTAAACAATGGAAAGTGGACTTGGATAGGAAACTCTACCTCATGCATTCCTGAGCTGTTCTGCACCATTCATTCATTCATAGACGACTCATATATTCGAGCACTCATTCATTTATTTATTAAATGCTTGCTCTGTGCTTAGCACTGTGCCAAGCCCTGTCCTTAGCTACCAAGAGTTTAACATGTGATTGGAAGACAGGATATAAGACCATGTCTCCCGTGTGTCGCGACTCACTCATCAAGTTCTACTGGCGTCTAGCATTCGTGTATGGCACTCAGTAGGTGCTCAACAAATATTTGTTGCATAAATGAAGGAAAAGATTATTAGTAACAATACCTTTTATTTACTGAGCTCTTCCCAACTTTCCATGTATTGTCGCAATCCTCAAGATAAGTCCTGTTATTATCCTATTTTATTGATAAGAAAAGTAAGGCACAGAGAAGTTAAGTAAATTGCCTAAGGTCACACAGACAGTCTGAAGTCTTAACCACTACTCCATGTGCATCTCAGCAGTGCAAGGCAGACCATGCTTAGGGCCAATGCTTAGCACACACAGAGATCGCCTCAGGATTTCAGAGGACAGAGCGGTCAGGAGGGGCTGGAGCAATAAAGGAAGGCTTCATGGAGACAGAGCAAAAGGACCAGCACAGGTAGAAGAGAACCATCTTTCCTCATAGAGAGAGTGGACAGCAAGCAAGAGGGAGTCCCAGGGTGGATTCTCCACACTGGCTTCCAGGGGTGAGGGACAGGGTGCCAGCAAGGACATCAGCAAGGATCAATCAGCAAATCCGAGGTTGTCCCTCGTGCCAAGCCCTGGGCTGTGTGTGCATAGGAGAACATGAACCTGAATGAGAACCTACCTTTGAGGATCTACAGTCAATTGTCGGACAGAAGCAAAATATGTAAATAATTTTACTCCAGGAAAGCAAGTGTTGAGAGCCAGAAGTGGTATGAAAATTATTGTCAGGAGGACAGAAACTGTTTCCAAATGGGAAGCACAGAGCAGTCTCCTTGGAAGAGAGTGCATTAGAACTGAGCCGTGAGGGTGGGCAGGATATCACTGTGGAGTAGGGGAAGGGCACTCCTGAAGTGGCAAAGTGGGAGGTGGGCCCTGTGTTCCCACAGTGGGCAGGGAGGTAGTGAAAGCAAATCTGGCCAGACAGGCAGGGCCATTCCGAGAGGGCTTTGTGTGCAGGGCTAAGTCAAGCTTTCTCCATAGGCAATGGGGAGCTACTGGAGGTTTGTAGCAGGGGAAGGACCTGTCTTGCCCACCAGGAGGCTACATAAAAACAGTTGTCTCCCAAGTTATAAGTTCCTGGAACCCTTGCTGGGAGCAGGATTTAGAAAAATGATGCTGAGAGACGCTAGAAACATATTCGCCCTGCGGCTCTCTCACTCAGACTCCAAGAGGGAGGTATCATCAGAATCACCCTTAACCGGGAACCAGAGTCGCTGGGTCCACTTCCTGCCAAGTCAGCAACCAGCTATGTGACCTTGCTCAGGTCCATCTCTGGGTGTCAGTTTCTTCATCTACGATGCAAGAGTGTTGCTCACCTCCAAGAACCTGTCTAACCCCAACTCCCACCCTATGAATCTAAGAATCCCACACCAACCATTCGCCATCCTAAGTATCACAGAGCCAGACAAGCATGGGGGAGGGCTCAGTCCATCCTTGTTGGACTAAAAGGAAGGAGCAGACTGTCCACAGGGGTTGACCGAGGGGGTCAGGCCCCCAAAGGTCCTCAGCCTACTTCAACCTCAAAGGGGACGGGGTGCTGAGTGGTGCCAGAGGAGCAGCAGGCTCACTCAGGGAGAGGAGGGGCTTAGAATAGAAGGGAAATGCACTAAACAACCAGTTTCCTCCCAAACCAGTTTCAGGCCAGGGCTGGGAATTTCACAAATAAGCAAAAGGCGCTCTGTGAACATTTCCTGCCCCGCCCCAGCCCCCTTCCTGGCAGCATTACCACACTGCTCACCTGTGAGGCAATCTTCCGGAGACAGGGCCAAAGGGCCAAGTGCCCCAGCCAGGAGCTGCCTATAAATGCCGAGCCTGCACAGCTCTGGCAAACGCTCTGTGTGGCTCCTCGGCTTTGGTAAGTGAGCTGCCAGCTTCCCCAGGCAGAAGCCTGCCTGCCAATTCCTTCTTTCCTTCCCTGACCCAACTTCCTTCCAAATCCTCCTCCTGGAAGCCCTCCTTGGTTGGCCCTGCCCAGTTTAAAACTTCTTTCACATTTTCTTAGGTCGTGTTCCCCTGGGGCCTCCTGACCTCAAATGCTTTGCTTTTCGGCACTCCCTGGATATTCTAAAAAATCATTTTGTACATGTGTGTGACAGACCATCTCCCAGTTAACTTGCAGCCTGTGCTTTCTTTTTATTTTGCGCTTCTCCCACTATTTCTGTGAGTGCTTAGTAGGAAGTGTCAAAGAAGCTTGACAGCCTTTTCTTCTAGGTGCCCCAACTCTTGTTTTTCCATTACACAGACAGAGCGCAAGCAGATGTCCTGCAAAATGTCGCAGCTGGAACGCAACATAGAGACCATCATCAACACCTTCCACCAGTACTCTGTGAAGCTGGGGCACCCAGACACCCTGAACCGGAGGGAATTCAAACAGCTGGTGGAAAAAGATCTGCAAAACTTTCTCAAGGTAGGACTGGACTCCGGCAGGTCTGACCCAGCCTCACAGTAGTTTGGGTTGACAAGGGAGGATGGGAGTGTGGCCTACAGCAATCAAGGGGAAGATTTGAGCTCCTCGAGCCGAGCCCCCAGACACAGCGGGTGTCCTGTTATACAGGGTAGATGCTCACAGTTACACAGGATGACAGGGTCAAGAGATTGCTCAATTGAACCCATGCTATTTGTCGGGCCCTGTTCTGGGCAGAGGAACATAGTGGTAAATGGGGAGCCCACCATTCCAGTGGAGGGGGACACACAATAAAATTGTTGGCCAATAAAGAGCACAGATAAAGCCAAATGCCAGTAAGTGTATGGAAGAAAATGAGACAGAGTGCTGTGGGCAGCGTGGGCTAGGTGGAGTGGAGGTGACCAGTTAGGGTACATGAGAAGGTCCTCTTTGAGGAGGTAACATTTGAGCTGAGCCCCAAATGCTGGGGAGGGAAGCCCCTGAGGACCACCCTTGGCACAAAGCTGAGGAGACCCTAAGCCTCAGGTGGGAACTTGGGGTGGAAGACTTGGAGGGTTTTTCTAATCCTAAGGGTCTGCGGTGGAAAATGAATGCATAAATAGCACATGGAGAGCACCTGCATAGCACTCAGGGAAGTGGGAGGTTTTTCCCCTGCTCCAACAATGATTAAGCAGTTCTAAGAAAAAGGTTGAGCACTTCCAACAGTCTTTTTGTTTTCTTTTCAAATTTGGGGAAAGTCAGGAAACAGAGGCCTGCATTAAGAAGGGTGGAACACATGGGTCTCGGTCTCAGTTCCACTGCCGGAGCTAGACATCCTGGGGTAGGTCCCTAGCCCACCCAGTGCCCCTCTCTCCACCTTGGTAAGGTGGAGAATTGCAGCCTTCAGAGTTAGGGGCCCTGACATCTCCCCATAGGTGGGGGCCTCAGGCAGGCAAGATGCTGGGTGGGGTAGGCAAGAGAGGGCCCAGCAGAGAGGCTGCATGGTGAAGCTCTCCTCCATGTGATCCCCTGTGCCTGCTCTCCCCGCCCACCTGATATCCGCTGCCAGAAGCAAAGTGATGCTGTGGGGAAAGAAACAGAGCCTCATGGATGGGCTGCGCAGGAGACAGCTCGCATTGGCTGGGTGCCCCACAGGTTCTGGGAGGGGACTTAGTGAAGTGACTCAGCCAGAGGGTGGCAGAGCTGGAACCAGCCAATGCTCTCTTGGATACCACCTGGGTCTTCCACCTCCCCTAATGTCTCCCCTGTTTTTTTGTTTTGTTTTGTTTTGTTTTGTTTTTGAGATGGAGTTTCGCTCTTGTTGCCCAGGCTGGAGTGCAATGGCACAATCTCAGCTCACTGCAACCTCCACCTCCAGGGTTTGAGCAATTCTCCTGCTTCAGCCTCCTGAATAGCTGGGATTACAGGCATGCACCACCACGCCAGGCTAATTTTGCATTTTTAGTAGAGACGAGGTTTCTCCATGTTGGTCAAGCTGGTGTCGAACTCTCAACCTTAGGTGATCTGCCTGCCTCGGCCTCTCAAAGTGCTAGGATTATAGGCATGAGCCACCCTGCCCGGCTTATGCCTGTAATCTCCCCTTTTATACTTTATCACACTCTTGAAGGTCAACGGAGCACATACTCTGCTCTCTGCCCCTCCATCTCCCCTGCGCGCACCTAGTTTTTCTAGGTGTTTCCCCATTGAGTTGGTTGAAAAAAGTTTCACTAATTGGTAACCTCCAGAGGGAAGGGAAAGGAGGGCATGAGAGGAAGTGAAGTGCAGAGGGGTAGCGGAATAGAACTGGCCTCTAAGTCAGATCTGAATTTGCATGCCCTGAGTAGTCAAGCTGTGAAAACCAATGACCCTCTCTAGGACTGGTTTCCTCCAGGAAGATACCATTCCTAGCTGTTAAAATTGTTATGAGGACCAAATGAGGTGACATTTCCAGGCTTACTCATGCCATGACCAGGGCAAGACCCTGGAACTCAGCTTCCTCTTCTATAAATAGAGAATCAGCACCCAAGTCACAGGGTCATGGAGGGAATAAACTGGAGAGCGTTTGGTGCGTGCTCATTGTCTGCTCCATTGTGGGCATTCAACTCATGGTCATTTTTAATTTTTAAATCAAGCTCCAGGGTGAGGCATCCCTGCACATTTGCCAGCTGGTCATTTACTGTGCTCCCAGTCCCCACTTCTGGCCACACCCAGCTCTCACAGCCTTCTCTCCCCACCTGCAGAAGGAGAAAAAGAATGATAAGATCATAGACCACATCATGGAGGACCTGGACACAAATGCAGACAAGCAGCTGAGCTTCGAGGAGTTCATCATGCTGATGGCGAGGCTAACCTGGGCCTCCCACGAGAAGATGCACGAGGATGACGAGGGCCCTGGCCACCACCATAAGCCAGGTCTCGGGGAGGACGCTCGCTAAGACCACAGTGTCCAAGATCGCAGTGGCCATGGCCACGCCACAGCCACTAATCAGGAGGCCAGGCCACCCTGCCTCTACCCAACCAGGGCCCCGGGACCTCTTGTGCCAAACTGTCCTGGCTGTGGCGGTAGGGGCTGGGGCCAAATAAAGTCTTCCTCCAAATCAGTGCTCTGTGTGCTTCTTCCACCTCTTCTCCAACCCTTCCTTCCCAGGGCTCTGGGCATTAGAGAGCCCTGTCCTTATCTGTGACTCAGCCCCCCTCATTCAGTATTAACAAAATGAGAAGCAGCAAAACATGGGTCTGTGCTGAGCCCCTTGGGCTCACCTCCCTGGCCATGTCCTCACCTCTGACTTCAGGCCCCACTGCTCAGATCCCAGGCACCCTGCCCCATCTTAGACACCCCATCCAGCCTGTCCAGCCTGACAAGTGGCCCTTGTCACTGTACACTGTAGAAAGCAAAAGGGCATATCCCTACCCCTTGATATGTCAGCTACCTTCCCAACCAGCTCCAACCCTATCTTCACCCATCACTGTCTACGCAGCCCTCTCTCTCCTAATATAATTCTATTCCTCTAAAAGTCTTCCAGAAATGGACCCAGATAGTGCCATGTCTGGGGAGGAATACTGGCACTAAGGCAGTGGAAACAAGGACAGATCCGGTGTGTTTACTCTCATAATTTTTCTGGATCCAAGAGAGCAATTGGATCTGTCTTAACAGACCTGCCATCCTAAGCGACGGGGGTGCTCACACAAGTGGGAGTCTGGGAGCTCAGCTCTATGCCCACCCTGGTCTCAACAGAATGGCAGAGTGAAGAAATGAGTGCCAGTCCTGGCTCTGCAGCTAAAAGACTCAGTGACTACCATAAGGAGTCTGTGCTCTGGGTCCAGAGAGCCTGGGGGTCTAAAGATTCTGATTTTAAGCTTTGAGGGTCAGCTGTCCTTTCTGGTGGGTAGCTGAGAGCTGGGGCCAGCACAAGTATCTGCTTCTCTCTGCAAAGCCTATTACCAGGCCTGGCCCCAGCTGCCTCAGGGCTACTGCTGCTGCTCCCACTTCAAGCTGCCCTAGACCTTAACTTCAGGGACTCCTCTGCCATCTTCCTGCCCTTTGGCTATAAAGTCCCTTTCCTAGGTTATAACCAGTGGGGGTGGGCCTTCCAAAAACCAGAGTTCAGATCAAGGTCCTCTGACTCCTGTCCTTTCAGCAGAAAGAAGACTCACAGAATTAGGATCTGGGGGAGCAGGGAAAAGACTAGCAGTCATCTACTCTCCCTTTTCATAAGTGAAGAAACCAAGGCATAACATGGAGAAGAGACTAGTCCAAAGTCACACAAGCGACAGAGTTGCTCAAAATAGTGCAGTATGAAAAATAGCTTGAATCATATCTGTCCCACTGGCTGCACCTCCCCAGCCCCTTCCCCAGTGCAGAGCAGGAAGATACAGAGCTGCCATGGTTGGATTTCAGCCCTCCCCTCACAGCCTGGCTATGGTTGTGCCCCCAACCTGCCTGTTGCAGACTTTTGCTCTAAGGGCCTGGGGGCTCTGCTCTGGGTGCAGGGTTATAAGGGCTCCCATTCAAGGGTATGAGGATGTTTCCAAGAACTGTCTCAGGCTGAGAGCTCAGGCAGCAGAGTCTAGAAGCCCTCACCAGTCCCTTCTGTGCCTGACTTGGAGACCTGACATCTGGAGACACTCATCTTCTGACAGCCCTTCTGTTCCCATGCTCACATCCAAGGAGGAGTCACTGTCTTCACCTCCTTCTGAACACAGCTTGGTAATGGGGGGAGAGAAGCATCCTGGGGATTGGAGGGCCTTAGACCAGATGCTTCCAGTAGGGCGGTAAGTGCTCCCCCTAGGCCCTATGCCCTCCATTACTTATTACAATGTGCCTAAATATGTTTATGACTCTGCCTACCCCTCCAGACTAATAACTCCAAGAGAGCAAAGTCCGTCTTTTTTCTGATTTATTCCCAGCACCTAGAGTAGTGGCTGCTACATAGAAGGTTCTCAACAAATATTGCCTGTATAATGGTCTAAAATTTCTCACATATTCTATGCTCTCTTCTCAAGGGATGATGTGGGGGGAAAAAGGCAAGAGGAGATCAAAACCTGCAAATGGAAGGCTTCTGCATTAGCATTACAGAATCTCAAACCTGAAGGTAAGGAGCAGAAAGTTGAGGGAATCTGAGGGCCCCTCTACCCCTCTGTTCAATGAGACCAATTTGATTTGAAGAAAGAGATTTGTCTTGAAAAAAGTGTGAAAACTATGGACTTAATCCAATCTGCCCCACCCACACCCTAGAGTGATTCTTGCCAATGTCCCTGCCAAGTGATTGAACCAACCCTGCCTGAATTCCTCCAGGAAAAGAGAGTTTCCTCCTTTGGGAGTGGCACTTGGAATGTTCCTCATTATACTGAGCCAAAATCCATCTCCTCATGCCCACCCAGCATTAGTCCTACTTTTCCTCCCCTTTGAGGGCACAGAACAAATCTAACCCCTTATCATCCATCCTCCTATCCACATGTTTATTCCTCTGCTTCTTCAAAACGCCCTCCCTAAATTACATCCAGGCTTTCTCCAGCCTCTTCACCTTTGCACCAAAAATGCTGTGCACCATCCTGGTGTCTCTTGTAAGTCCCTTAGGATCCATCAAGCCTCAGAGCCAGTGTTACTGCTTCCTCACCATCCACCCTTCTCAAGAAGAAAGGGACTTCCTCCTCCAGAACCACAGAACTCTGATAATTCCACCATTGCGCTTCAAATACTGAATTGAAAATATCCATTTGCCAAGACTATGAGCCCCTGAAAGCAGGGACTGTGGCTGATTTTCCCCCACATTCAAGATCCCAGCATGGATTATCCACTTGTTCATCCACAAAGTGAAGATAGGATGATTCTAGAGCAGAAATGGGTGCTTTGCTTGAATGTGGGTGTGAGGTAGGGGTGGCTCTCAGGAACTGGTGGGGAGTGGGGGGTGCCAGCTGTCTGGAGACCTGGGGCTGGCAGAGAACAGAGCAGCTGAGCAGCAGGATAACCCAGAGACCTCCTCAGATACCAAGCATTCTTCCATTTGCCTTGTCGCTAGTAACTCAGTCTACATGTAGGCAATTGTTTCAGACCCCAGGGGATGGTCTAACAGCAAGCCACTTGCACCCTGTTGAATTTTCTTTAAACACAGTTGAACAGAACTCATCAAGGTGACTTAACCTCTTCCTTCCCATTAGCCTCTTTCATTTAAAAAAAAAAAAAACAAAAAACAAAAAAAAACAAAAAAAAAACCTCATTCTGTTGAGTAGAGCAGAGTCGGCTTCTTTGCTCAGAGACAGCAAGCATGTCCAGGTCCATGTCAAGGTTAAGATTCCCACTCCAAGTGAGAATCAGTAACTATCCCTGTGATTAATGAGTCCTTTGGGGAAACATGACCTTTGGGGACTTTCCCAGCATTATGGTGACTAAAGAACCAGAGACAACCTGTCTTCAGATGACTATCCAACAATTCCTGCAACAATGAGTTGCCCTCCAGTCTGGTGTTAGCTGTGGAACCTGAATTGCTAGATGCCTTTCTGGAGGAATGAGGAAGGATCAGTAGTGGTCTAAACTGTTAAACTCTTTCCAGACACTTCATAGTGCTCTGAATGTGGTCTGGGGCCTGGGTGGTGGTGGGATGACTCCAGAACTTGGGGGAAAAATGAATTCACTTGTCCATTCACTTGTATTTCCCCTCATTCACTCAACAGACATTAACTGCAGACTTACTATGTGTCAGGCACAGTATAATGCTCTGAGTGGCCTTCATGATAAATAAAGCTTGTCCATGTTGTCAAGGAGCCCTCAGGCCTTTAGGGAGACAAGATAGCTCCTCAAATTATTCTGATGTGGAAAATGAGAGTCTGAGGAGGTCCAGCTAAAAGACTTCGGTGGGATGTAGTTCAGTGGGACTTTGAGGTGGGAATGATGCCCTTCACTGGGGCCATCTCCATGGAGGAGTGAGTATCAGTGTGACATCAAGGCTGGTACCTGTAGGCATCCCGGGATAAACATGAAGGTGCTTCAGGAGGCCATGTGTGCAAAGGCCTGGAAATGGGCAGGAGTGGGGTTTGAGGGTGAATGAGGAGCACTGGGGGTGTGACAGGGAGAGGTAAGAGAGACAGAGAAGAACAGGGTAGGTACCAGGCCAAGGAGCTCACACTCCATTCAACAGAACAGGGGCAGAGCCCCGAAGGCTTCAGGGAGGGCAGTGATATAATCACATTTGCATTTCATAGAAGTTTCTCTATCTGTGTTTTATGGGATGGATTTGGGGTGGGAGTGAAACCCCAGGCACACGGCCTGTGGGGAGTCTGTTGCAATAGCACAGGTGAGCGCTTAAGAGAGTTGAAGCGGTGCTTCTCAGAAAAAGTAAAGTTAGAGCCTCAAACTACCCCGAGCTTCACCTCAATTAGGAGAAGTGTGACTGCAACATGATAAATAAGCATTTCATGCTATTTGCCAAGACCTTTCCAGGAAGGAAGATCTCAGCTTTCACCAGCCCAGTGAGCCAACCTTACACAACCCTGATGCAGCCCTGCTCTGAAGTAAGCTCCATAATCCAACCCCAACACACTGCCCCCCTCTTCCAGCAGTTGCTTGAAACATATATTTTAGAAAGCCCCGTGTCATGGATTTTGACATTCCAATTACCAAAGTGACAGCAGGACTGAAACATCTGGTTTCTCAAGTCCTGTTGCCTCTTGGGGCTCTGACCTGAAACAGTTTCTCTATCCCAAGACCACAATCAGTCCCTGGATGATTAAACCACCCCTGTCTTCAGCAATCTGCTCCCAGACACAGGAGACAGGGAAAGGGAGCCCCTGAGGGAGAGCCGACTGGCCTCCTTCCTGAGTGTCCCACGGAATGCAGAGTCCCAACTAAACACAGAGCACCGCTATTGGTGCCAGCTCAAAGCAACTACATCCAGGCTTTCCTTTTCTCCATGAATTCTCCCACACTTGCCCACATACCCAAAATTGCCGCATGCAGACTATACAGTGAGGAAGGGGTTTGTTGCCAAGACCTGAGGTGAAGAGGAAGAGGAGGGTGGCCGCCAGCAGGGGTGGCAGGGCCGTCAGGATTCCAGCATGCAGCCAGCACCTTCAGCAGCCCCCGCCTTGACTTGGAGTCTGATCC